TTCGATTAATTGAGCAGCCTTACCCTAGTTACCTTACTTCCCTTTACTGCCAGGTAGACCCACACATACTTAACCCAAATGTCCCTCTGAGGCAGTCTCTCAGCTCGCTCCATGACCTTACGGTCTGTTTAAATCAGGTCAGGCATCTTAAGGCCTTTGTCACGACCACAGAAAGTGATGGAGTAAAGAAGGGAGACAGGAAGGGAGGGGAGCAAGTGGATGGAGGACTAAAATAAAGGCTGACATTTTAGCCTTGTTGTTTTCTTCCCACTATTACCCTCTAGTTGTTTCCTCTGGCGTATTTTTCATTCATATTGCCAGATGCTTTTTGGACCATGTTATGATTTGTTCTCCTTTTTCTTCTACATATTCCTTACTCCTATTCTTGCTTCTTTTCCTCCTTTCATATTCAACTCACCCCTCTCTTTCTCATCTACATCATCCATTCCTTTTTCGTTTTTCCTCCCACTTTCCTCTTTTCACCCACTCTCTCTCCATGTTGTGAAGGTGACTGAGCTGGCTCCTCTGGGTTCTCTGCTGGAGCGTCTGCGATGTGTCCGTCCACAGGGCCCGGTGTTGATCCACACTCTGTGTCAGTATGCCGTGCAGGTGGCCTGTGGCATGGCTTATCTGGAGCAGAGGAGGTTCATCCACAGGGACCTGGCAGCCAGGTAGGAGGCAGAGCATTCTTTAAGGTGGATTTAATGTGCTTTTGCAGCTATAAAAAGGTCAAAAGCTATTTTTTAAAGAGGGTGTATTCTTCACATTCCCTATGAAACCTATTTTTTTTTACTACTGGTATGTTGAATTATTTATATTGGTTCTCCTTCTCCTCCACCCAGAAATTTACAGGCCATTACAGGGAGACTTGGCCCATAGCAAGATGAGTCACTGGTTGGCTGGCTGTACCGGGTGGTCTAAGTTCTTGGCCTTGCCCAAATTCATCACTTTCACTTAACTGTTGACACGATGTAGATGCCTGAGAGAAAAATCTAATGACTGGTAAAAATGAGTCATTTTCCCAGTTAAAGCTGTGATAAAATGGTAATGACTACACACGGCTGTTACAGTACTCCCAACACTAAGATGATTTCTTAATGCTGTGGTTTTAAATGCTGGAACTTGGAAATGAAGGTCCTGCTGATTTTCTACAGTGATGTGTATTCTTAATACATCTCAGGTTGAATTGATGCCTTCATTTAAAACCTGCAGTAGGTCCTTCAGAATAGGACACTACTACCTATATGCTGTATGGCATGTGGACAATATTGATTGGATTACATTCTGAATGTTGCTCAGGGTTTACTATTACAACTTCCCCTCTTTCTTTGATACATCTCTGCAAGGACCAGTGTGTAGGATTTAGTGGCATCCAGCAGGGAAGTGGCAGATTGCAACCAAATTGAAAACCGTTTGCCTTCAAAGTGTATAGAGGAAACTAAAGCGAAAGGCGCTATCTACAGCCACTGTTTGGTTTGTCTGTTTTGGGCTACTGTACAAACATGACACATGGTGGACTCCATAGAAGAGGATCCACTCCCCCTGTCTTTGTTGTTCATCTTTGTTGTATGTGGAGAGTTTTGTGAGCTGCTGTGAACTTAGGAGTGTGTTGGTGGCATCTGTAATGTGCAACCTAAGCAAAACTCCCAAAATACTCCTTTGCACTGCATTATTGATAATGTAGTAGTGCCTGTTTTTGAGTTCAAACAGAACTGTATAACAAGCAGGTATGTTTACATTAATAATGTAAAGAAAGCTGTTGAAAATTTGACCCTCTCTCTTCAGGAACATCCTGCTGGCCTCTGCTCACAGAGTGAAGATCGGTGACTTTGGCCTGATGAGGGCGCTGCCTAACAACCATGAGCACTATGTCATGCAGGAGCATCGAAAGGTCCCCTTTGCATGGTGGGTGAAGATAGAGAGCAGCACAATAGACAAAGCCGTACTTGGATGCAATCCAGTGATGGATACGAGTGGTTTTAGTGGTCAGGGTGGAAACCTGATTATTTTATTGCTGAAAGTTTCCACAGAGCAATCTGATTGGTAACAGCTGTGTTCCAGCCATGTTGATCATTCTTATAAAATAATGATTGCTGGGTTTTTGGTTTCTGTGCCAAATTCTGAGTCAGCCAATCAGTTAGCTAACAATCTATCTTTCTTTCTACTGTTTCCATTCATATCCATGTGTGATTTTAGTTTAAAATGCTTTTAATGCCTTGCTGCAGGGTTCGAATCTGACCTGCGGCCCTTTGCTGCGTGTATCCCCTCTCTCATGCCCCCTTTCGCTGTCTTCTCACTATCAAGTAAAGGCAATAAGACCCCCCCAAAATGCTTTTAATGTTAGAGTAGCCACATTGAAACTATTCTCTGCCCAACGTCAGCATTACCTTTGGACAGACTTATAGATAATTGATTCAGCGTGCAGTCCATGTTGATGTTTGATGTCCGTCCTGCTGCAGGTGCGCTCCAGAGAGTCTGAAGACCAGAACGTTCTCCCATGCTACAGACACATGGATGTTTGGAGTTACTCTCTGGGAGATGTTCACACATGGCCAAGAGCCTTGGCTGGGCCTTAATGGGAGTCAGGTGAACACACACACAGAAAGAATATGTATAATAATGTATTTATACAATATGTAGACAAAAACATCTTCCCACTTATATATTCTTTAATTGTCTTCTCTCCTCTTTTGTCTTTAAATTTTTTCCTCCTTTGTCAAACAAACAACCCTAGATCCTGCACAAGATTGATAAAGAAGGTGAACGCCTCCCTAAGCCTGAAGACTGTCCACAGGACATCTATAATGTCATGCTGCAGTGTTGGGCCCAAAAACCAGACGACAGACCTACTTTTGTCGCCCTGAGTGATTTCCTGCTTGAGGTAGGAGAGCACTGATTTGGGTAGCCACAGGGGTCTGTCCAGTGTGTTAAATATGAACAGGGGTTTATAGCTTCAATTTAACTGTTAAGGAAACTGTGTATTCCTAAACCCCACTAAGCAGTAGACACTTGATTATAATCACTGGTCAGAGCCAGTGTTCTTGCAGAAATCCATCATCACATAAATTGACTTTTAGCTCCACCTGGTGGAGAACTGCAAAATGCCATCAGCTGGATGGACAACAGCTTATAATATGTGTGTGTTAATATGACTTTGGTGTATTTTTGTTTGTTTTTCAGACCATGCCCACAGACATGTGTGCCCTGCAGGACTTTGATGAGCCTGACAAACTCCACATCCAGATCAACGATGTCATCACCATCATAGAGGGGAGGTGGGTTATAATTAAAGTGTTTTAGACTTTGGACAAACTTCCTCCAAATCTTTCACTCTTACTTATAACCCCTCCTGTCAAACTCATTACTGATAAATGCTGTTTAAAGGGGAAAAAAACTAATCTCTTCACAATATAATAACAGCCTACAGGTCTTTTCCTGTGATCTTATATATATATTTTGACCTAAGTAGCTCACACACATGCCCACAATAAAAATATATTTTAATTATATTAAAGTAACCTAAATGCACTAAATTGTAATTATTAAATTGTTAAATGTCTAGTAGAATTATTTGGCTCTCCATGTGAACAACTGTGATTCATCCTCAGTATTTCTGTCCATTAGGGCAGAGAACTACTGGTGGCGAGGTCAAAACAAGCGGACGCTTAAGGTCGGACAGTTCCCCAGAAACGTGGTGACGTCAGTCGCTGGTTTGTCAGCTCATGACATCAGCAGGCCGCTCAAGAACAGCTTCATCCACACAGGACACGGAGACTCTAACCCTCATCGCTGCTGGGGCTTCCCTGACAGGATTGACGAGTACGGACCAGCTTCTGTTTATTAACTTTTAGTCTTCTGTGAATTTAGCTCCAAAATATACCCAGGGAAGTTTTTAAATGTCTCTTTATCAATGTATAAATGTGTACTATAATTATGCCCCATGTTGGAAGTTGGTGGTAAAGCTCTTACCAATAGATGGCAGCACGATATATAATGTATACATATGTCCACCTACAACATTATAACACTCAGGTTAGTTAGATTAATTATTTTGGCATTTATAGTCCGTAAGTTTGCTCCTCTCTTCCCTTTAGTTTGTACCTCGGGAATCCCATGGATCCCCCTGATGTCCTTGGTGTAGACCTCAGTGGTGCTCGGCCCACGCAGCTACCAGGACGAGCTAGAAGTGAGTAAAAGAGCTGTGAATAAAGACTTCAATGATGACCATTTTGATTCACAAGTACAAAGGATAGGCACTCTTTCAGTATCAGCTCTGGGTTCAAACTCTTCAGCTGGACTCATTTAGCTCAAGAGCTAAAAGTCAAAGTTTGAACAGGGTTGGTGCTCTGGTCCTGAAACTACAGGCCTCATTTTAAAATGATCAAAATATATTTTTGATCATATGTGTCAGTTACAGGGACACACTTACATTCTGCTAGATGAAAAAATAACACTTGTACACTTTTTAGCTGATCATAATTACAAATGTAGAACTGTTTCACCTCTGCAACTATAAACGTAACAACAAACCTAAACAACATTAAAAACAATGGATTGTGGGTTTAAATCTTAAAGTTATGGCAGTGCAGATCTTTCTTTGAAATGGCCACCAGCTTGCTTTTCATTTTGCACATTTTTAACACTGGCTGACAAAGCTTTCATATGCAATCTGACATTTGCTTCCTGCTTCTTTTCCCCCTAACCTTTTTATCTTTTCTGCCGTCTCCTTTGTTTTTCTCCATTTCTCCTTTGCGGTGGCGGGATTTATTTTTTTATTTTTCCAGAGGAGCCTCCTCCTCGCCCTCCTCAACCAGCAGTGTTAATCAAGAGTAAGTCTGGTTTCCCTCAGCAGCTCCTCACCCATTGCTCCTGCCCTCTCTGTTCCCTCCTAGCTCCACTCCTCAAAGGTACATCCCATACTTGTTTGTCTTTCCTTTGCCTGTCTTTGCAGTGATTCTGTCACCTACTTTAATTTCCTCTCATAACATCATTGTTTCTCCATCTTTCCACCCCTGTGTCCCTCTAACAGGTGTGCAGTGTCCCTGCTGTGCATTATAGGAATAACTTCCAACCTGGAGACTTTTTGCGTGTGTAGTGTGTTTTGTTTATTGTGGTGTGCAGTGACCTTAAAGAGACTTTGTGTAATATCTCTATATATTTTTCTTTACTGTAGTAAATAATGTATTTGGTGTTTGGGTTTCCAGAGCCTTGCTATGATCCAGTAAACGATGATGAGGATCTGACTTCGGCAGGACTAAAGAGATTATCACTTCGGAAAACGGGTTCTCTCAAAGGCTTAAAACTGAAACCCGCTGCATGGGTCTCTGCTTCCAAACAGGGGAGTGGCCGGACTTCAGGCTCAGGCTACAACCCCAACAGTGAAGTGTCCCTCATTGACTTTGGGGAGGAGTTCCCCCCGCCCACACCCTCCCCCTCCCCTGTGGTTGAAATTCATGTTCCTTCATTGGCTAAGCTAGCATTGGAAGCGGAGAACATCCTGGACCGGACTCCACCTCAGAGTCCGTGCAAATCATTGCCCCGCCCACTTCACCCTACGCCAGTAGTGGACTGGGATGCCCGGCCATTACCGCCACCCCCGGCCTATGACGATGTAGCCCAAGATGAAGACGATATGGAGGTATGGTAGGAAGTGATACAGCACATTTCAGATTGAGCCAATATTTGATCTCACCCAAATCCACATCAGAAGGGATTTAAGTTGTAAATCTTCTTTCTACACACAGGTGAGCTCTATCAACAGCTCGGAGCAGCAGCATGAAGAGGAGCAGAGTGATGTCCACTGCTCAGATGAGGTTCTCTCCCATGGACAGAAGGTGGAAGGTGAGGTTCTGGTCTCCAGGGGTACAGACAGACCAGGCCTGGAGGACAACCTCTTCCTGCCAAGCAAACAGAGCCAGGGCCTGTCCACCTCCTTCTCCCAGTCAGCAGAGATCTTCCAAGAACTCCAGCAAGAGTGCATGAGAAGGCTCAATGTACCCACTGGAAGCGCTGCACGATCAGGCTCGCCGTCCCAGGTCTCAGCCTCGTGTCCACAGACTCCACAGACCCAGCAGAGTGTCCTCTCCTCCAATGAGGACAAACCCCAGATCCCCCCACGTGTCCCCATACCCCCTCGCCCCATAAAAAGGGGCGACTACACGTCTGCTCGCTGGTCAAGGGATCTTTCCCTGTCACCAACGCCAGCTGACACCACAGAGGACATTTCAGGCCCAGGACAGGACCGACCACCTCAGATCCCCCCAAGGGATCCTTTGTCACAACCAGGCTCCAGGACTCCCAGCCCCATGGGTCTGGTAGTGGGCTCCCCCCAGCAGAGAGTCTACTCTGTCAGCCCCACCACCATGCAGGCCCCCCTCACCTCCTGCGCCTCCACACACACCTACGGCTCCTACCTCTCCACCTCTCCAGGTAAACTCATGCCCACCACACACAGCTTTGCCTCAGATCCTAAATATGCTGCACCCAAAGTGATCCAGGCGCAGGGGAAGGATGCCACCAGTAAAGGCCCCTGTATCCTCCCCATCGTCCGTGACGGACGTAAAGTCAGTAACACCCACTATTATCTTTTGCCTGAGAGGCCCCCATACCTCGACCGTTACGACCGCTTTTTCAGGGAGGCAGAGAACCTTCCTGCCACTGGTCTGGAGGAAAGGCATGTACGGCAAGCTAACACTGCCACTGTCAGACCCATGGTGGTAAGCAACCAGACCCTCCAGGGACACGCCCAGGGACAGGGGCTTGTCCAGCCAGGCGAGCTGAAGGCTAATTTCTCCTCCAACAATAACAGCAGTCTGGGTGGGCCACGGTCAGGGATGAAGACATCAGTTAGCCTCCCTCGTGTCTGTTCAGACGGGCTGACAGCACTGGTGGTCCCTGCTTCCTGCACCAGGACAGACGGAGGGGGGAACTCAGCTGACAGGGTGAAAATGGTAAGGTCAGAGACATTTGGATTGCCTTTTGATTTGAAATACACTGTATAATTTTATGATTTATATCATGTGCTGAAATGTATTATTTATTGTTCCAGTAAGTAAAGTGCTTAGCTCCCTAACTTCCTCTTTTATTTGGATAGTTGAATATATAGTTGACCTTATGTCCTCCTTAATGATACTTTACTTTTTTGTAAATGAGATTAAAAAAAAAGTCCTTAAACCATCTGTTCTTAGTTTCCTATATGAGAGCCTATGGTTCCATTATTATGAGATTAAGTGATTATCACATAGCTGAGAACTGAAATAGCAGTGCACTGTTCAGGGTCATCCAGTAGGATTGTTCTAAGAAGTAATAAGAAGACTTAAGATGTTATGTAATAGAGTGTGATATGTGTGCATAATTTATACGTGGCATTACAGTCTCAGTTGAAACCATTGACAGTATATGGTTGAAAGGTACATTTTCTCACAGTTAGTGTAGCTTTTGAATTTCATTTAAATATCTATACAAACATTATGGTATGTTACATTTGTGTGTACAATGAACACTAGGGGGCAGTAGAAGGTAATTTTTACTGGTGGTCCACTCAGGACATAGCTTGTAGGTAAAATTGCATGCATGTCTGTGTGCAAATTTGTGTTTCCATTTCATTTGAAAGAGACTGAAAGAAAGGGAAAGCAATTTGCATATATAGTTCTGGCATATATAGTAGCTGCTTTAAATCTGTTATAAGTGAACACATTACCTCCCTATTAAACTTCAAATCAGTATCAACTAAATTGTGATTGATTGAACATAACATTTTCTAAATGGAGCTGAACTTACGCAAGCCAATGAACCAGACTAATTACTGGGATGTTACATTTGAATATATTTTCAGTACAATGAAAAAGCACAAAAATGTCCTAACCTCTCATAACTTGTTTAAAATATGCCGGTGTTAAGAAAGGCCATATTAACATATGTTGCTTTGAACTGAACGTAAAACCAGGATCGGTTCCTTTTTGCCGGCCAGTTGATTCAGACACCGAATGAACCTAATTGAACTGAAGTCAGAATCACTGTGAAACACCAAAGGCTCTACATCGATCTGGCACTTGGCATTTTGTAATCGATTCTGAAATCTGTTAGCCTGGGTACCAGCTTGTGTTTTATTTGCTCTATCTGGTGATGCCAAGCTAGAGATCAGTGGCTCTACACAAAGGGCAGTGAGAAAGTGAGATCTTATATACACTCAACTGCAGAGTTCAATGCAAGACTTAGACACGCACTACACATTTAATAGCTGTAGTAGTTTAAATAGAGTTTAATACAGTAGTACAGTTAAATAAATAAAATGAATGATTACGCTGCTAGCAAGTATCTATCTATCGAATCTTATTTGCTTTTCATATTTGGATGTGTCCGTACATAATATTAAATTGACACAAATTAATTCATAGAATTCAAAGAAAGGACCCAGTCGTGTGTGCAGGTGCTCCTGACTGCAGTACTTTTGTTTACTTTTACCTTCACCTGAGAAAGTGTAAGTGTTGTTGGATGCTGCAGAGACTAACACCATTCGTGTGATTAAGGTGCAGGAGGCAGTTCATGGTGTGACTATAGAGGAGTGCCAAGCCGCCCTCCAGAACCACAACTGGAATGTCCAGAAAGCTGTGCATTATCTAAAGGTAAGAGCATTTATTAGTACACTATGAAAAAGCTTATTGCACTGCAGCCCGCCATTTTCCCCAGTAATCGTAATAATAAATGTTTTCCGAGGTATTGTATGTCAACTGTCATCATTATTATAGTTAGTTGAATCATTCAAATGAAGTGTAAAAATAAATAGTATATTTTCTCTTTAACCTTCAATCAGTTTGTTAAAAAGAGAAAACTTCAGATTAGTTGGTTCAAATAATTAATAATTAGGTGTGTCCACAGGACAGTGATTGGTTCAGGGTGTGTGTTTGTGTGTGTGACATCAGTGAACCAGCTGAGAGTGAGTGAGGCTATAGCTGGCTGTTTGTAATCACGCTGACCCTCAGCTTATTCAGTTAGCTATGTAGCTAAAGCTAACTTTTGTCGTAGAGCTACACAAACCAGTGCATGTAATGTTAATAATCTATATACTGTACTGCATGCTGCTGTAGCCTCACTGTATAAAGTCTTGTAACAGTAGCTAAAGTATTTTGGCTGGCATGCTAACGCTCTATACCTCATTTCAATTGTTTAATTAATAGTATTATTTATTCATGTTGTCAGTTATATTTTTGGCAAATCTGATAACCTTGTACTGCCTTTACTCCATAATACAATATAAACAATAGTTCATGAATAACAATTCCAGGCATGAAATAAATAGTTGCATGCAGAGTCAGGAGGAGCAAATAAAAAATAATATATTATATATATATTATATTATATAATATTAGGCACACACAAGAAAGGCAAACTGAGTTGGTAAAAGCAAACTTTACACAAAGTAACGAGCAACAAACATCCATCAAAATGAAGACGAAGTCCATGATTATGCTGCAGCACAGCAATTACTAAAAGAGAACCACAGTCCTCAGTGGTAAACTCTGCTGTGCTGCACAGTTGTCCTTAGAGATCCAGTTCACTGTATCTCAGGTCAGTTCTCCAGTCTTACTCTGTAATAACCTTTTTTGTACTGGATATATCTGCAAACACGTAGTCATTTAAAGTTGCTGAAGGCCATTTTTACTTTACTTTAAGTTCATATCATATGATAAGAGCAACTTTGTTGAACCCTATGGGAAATTCAGGTCATTGCTGCGGCAATGAGCCGGCTGTCAATAAAAAAAGGCATATAGAGACCCTGATGTGTCTCCAGCGGCGTTCAGCACCCTCTTAGGGCAGGGTTGAAGATGTGTTTGGATGCCAGTGGGCACGAGGGAACACTTGACTGCTCCATAATAGTGGCTGCAAAATTTAAAGGATAAAAAGAAATGCAATCCAAAGGTCTCATATTCAATCTGAGCAACAGAAGGGTGTTTGAGCAAGACACTGTGCTTGTATTAAGTATCACGATATGCTTACTGGTGCTGCAATCACTCTCACCTGAAGGAGTGAATAAGATGAATTCCTTCAATTCTCTTTTATACAGTACCTGACCCTGTGACCCCGCTGTAATGTCCCATTTCATCCCTTCTCCTTCCCTAACCCCTGGCTTCTTTGTATGATGCTTCTAATCTTTGTTTGTTATCTGTCCCTCTGCAGGTGGAGCAGTTGTTCTGTTTGGGTCTGAGGAGCAGGTCAGAGTGTCTAAAGCTGCTGGAGATGTGTGACTGGAACCTGGAGGTGGCCAGCACTCAGATGTTAGATAACTATGGATCCACAACAAGACAGAGGTAGTGTGTTTTTTCATTTCCGGAAATTTAATTCAGTCACCTCCCTCCACATGCTGACATGAGGTCAATTTAGTTACATCTCTTTGGAAACATACCATTAGAATCTGCTTCCTGGCTGGGCTTAGCTGCTGCAGATTGGCCCTCCTCCATATAGGAATTACTGCAAGTTATCTGGAAAAGTTAACAGCAGATGTTTAGAGCAGGCAGACGGGCAGCATTATGCTGCAATGAGAATGCTTATGTGCTGCGTTAATGAGGCTAAGAATCATATTAGGCTGCTAGCGAAGGTTTTCTGCTTTGTTGATCATTTCTATAGAGCAATATATTATGAAAAAAATTTTTAAAGCTTGAGCAATTTAATGTGCATTTCACTTTAAAAGCTTCAAAAGTGGAAGTCTCTCTTGCAAGACAATGTAAATATCATTCAAGTTAATTTAGGAGGATTTAGAATTCAATCTCATGATTTTTTTTTATCTAATCGAAAGCCTTTTTCTATTTGCAGACGGTGACAGAAATCTGAAGCTGCTGAGCTGTGATGGGAACTTCATCCTCAGTAAAACATCATCAGAGGAAGCAAACCTGCTCCTTGCCCTTTACGCTTCAGACACGCTTCCAATCAGAGGACTGTGATTTGGAAGAATCAGGCAAATTTTCTCTGAACTAGCACAAAATACCAAACTTTATTATGGCTCCATTCATACTTAACATGGACAAAGGAATTTAGTCTCGGGGCTAGACTCCTATTTAGACTTTGGTGTGAAAGATATGTGATTGTTGCACACTTAAGAAATAGTAGACCGCCATCTATCGTCTTCTTAGAACTGTTCAAAGACAAAAATGACACTGTACTTGGTCAATTTCATTTGTCTTCCTAACAGATCCCCACAGTGTCACAGATCCTGTGCGCTACAATACTCAGTCACATCCACTTACTGGTATCCTCACGCTGCTATGACAGTGTTGACCAACTGCAGAGAGATACTTATTCTGTTAACAGCATTAAAAAATCAGTTTAAAAGGCAATCTGAAAAATGAGTTAAACAGCACAATATACACAGTAGCACTTCCTAAAAAAAGCTCTGTACTTTGCCACGAGGTCACTGTATTGTGTCAGAATATGCCATGAACTAGTTCAGTTGGAATGAAAACTCATTAAGTGAACCGTGTCAGAATTTATCCTAAATACTGTACAGTGTGCAGATAGTTCATTAAAGGTCAACTTCCTGAATTGACATCTGTAGCTTCACTTAAAAGCAATTCTTTTGAAGACCAATTTAAAAACAAGATGTTGTACCTCTACCATGTAAAAGCACAACGAAATACAAAGCTAGTATTTAATTGGCTGTCCAGGCCATACTGTACAGGAAACAGTTGTCCTGTTTACAGTTGTAAAGAAGGGTGGGGATGTGATAATGCTGCTGAAAGCTTGTGGTGTAGAAAGAAAATACTGTTGCAAAAGACTTCTCTTATCTTCAATAATTTGTGTAATACATTTTATAGTTTGGTGAGGGACGTTAGCCAGCATCAATGCTGCACTGTTCGAGTCAAATGTCGATCCGGTCTAGTATTGACCGAAATCTAGAAAATGAATGGAGACAGAGGATCAGAGAGGTAGTTTGCCTAAGATTCCCTTCTGTTAAAGACTTACAAAGGGTAGAGCAGTGTACCCTTCATAAAGAGACATTTATGTATTTGTGAACAAAATGTTTTAATATATTTTAAAAGTGCTCAGAGACAAGAGAAAACTGTTATGTCCATTACAGGGCAGGCCATTTGTTAAATTATTTTAATGCGTCACTCCTTAATCACCAATCTACAACTAATTCCACACATTTCACCAGAACAAAAAGGTTCCACCCAGTCAGTGGAAACTTACTACACTCCAGATCTACAGTAGCCTTTCCTTATTCCTTCCCTCTAAGCACTTTGCCTACACAGAACTCCTATGCATCAGCTGAAAACTCCTGCCAGCTTGGTATTTTCTGTACGGACCCAGACTACGTTGGCAGCTAATAACAGCAGCGTTGTGAAATTTGCCCCAGGGCACACATCCTGTCCCATAATCATCACTTAAAACCACAACTGTGATATTTTGGTCAGCAGCTTTAGGGGCAATAATTTAAAACTAGGAGGACGTGTCAGTTCTGGGTGAACTCACTCACTGAGGGATGTGACAATACATCTCCTGACTGGGTATTGTCACAGTAGAGCCCTCAGCAAGGAACGGTTCAAAACTCAGTTAATACAGAAAGTTTTTGGACCTGTCCAGGGTTTTATTCTGGATGTGAGGACACTGTTAAAAAGGAAGGGAAATAAAAGGCAGTATACACACTTTGACTGTTAAAATTTACTTTTATGTCAACCAAATGCCCCAAAAAACATACTTTAGGCAATTTATGGTTAACACACATAATACCTACAGCGCTTCTCTCTATAGAAAAAAAGAAGCCTCTTTGCCACTTGGTACCCATCTATTTAAATTACAATATAAATGTCCACATGTAAACACTGGCTTTGCTCCAAACCGACCCACCCCCTCCATATGTCCACAAAAGCCCCAGTATGTCACAGGTCTGAGCACAATCTGTTTGGGTGGAAACTTCAAATGGCCTCTGAAAAAGCTAATATGGAACCACCACAAGCCCGCTACCTGCCTAGACACATTAAGAAGCTTAAAGAAAGTAAATATACAGAAACGTGTTTGGAATATATTTATAAAGGATGTACAGGACTAATTTTGGATGACAACCTCCAGTAAAAGCTTCCTCTTGTGTGCAATAAGGCTGCTGTAGAACCTGTAACCTCCCAGTCTGTCCATCCTTCAGTGCCATCCGGTTGTGTAAAAAAAAAAAAAGCTTTCATCTCTGTCATGATGTATCCTAGTCACTGAATGCACAGGGAAAATGGCTTTCAGTATGAAATGTTTGGTGACTCAGTTTCCCTCCCCAGAGTAGGATGAAAGTTGTCCTTGAACACTGATCCAGAGTCAGTTTTGCCATGTTCCCCCTCGGATGTGTTGTGGCAAAGCTGATTGTTAACCAGTGCATAAGAACAACTTGATGTGAGCGGTGCCTCCACAGTCTGTCCATGTGTTGTTTGTCTTTATACCAAGCTGCTGTAGTTGCATTGAAGGACTGAAGTAAACCTTGTGGTGTTATGATCAACCTAAAGCAACATTCTCTCGTTGTGATGTTGAGACTCTGATGTTAGAAAACTGTTCAGTTCTGTTTAGCCTTTGTTTGCCAGATCATTTATATTGTTTTTGCTGTTTTTCCTTCAATCCAACTTGCCATTTCTTCCTCATTTGTATGTATTTGCTTCCCAGAATGTGTTTTATTTTAAATGCCTACTGTACAGTTGGTTTTCATTGTTTCTCTCCTCCTGAGTTGATAAAAATGTTCAAGAGAAGTTCATGCTGCCGAATTTATAAATGTATTTTTTATTAAAGAATTACTTATTTTTTACTTATGTTTAATAATCTTTTTCCGTTGGTTATCTTTGTTATCAGTGTTGACTGCTGCATAATGGGGATTATCATGCTGGATTTAGTTTTTTGACTAAATGAATATAGCTAATGATTGAGATGAGACAAATACTGCATTAATTATCATTAACAAAGTACTTTAATGGATCCTGAAATGTTCCAGTCCTTTTAGTATTAATTAACAAGAACCACAGGAAGCCCCTAGAACATAAATCTGTGTGTTTACATGATGCTCATCAGGTTTAATCTGTTTCATCAAATGTTTAAAATGCTAAAACAATTAGTGAATTAAAGGATGAGCATCGAGAAAATGCCGTGATGTGTGTAGGAGGAACTACAGTGAACATGGAAGTCGTGAAAAACGCGAAAGGCCCAAGCTATAGCCAGTGTGAGCCGTGGCATTTGTAGATAAAAACGGCTCATTTTAAGGTGACAAAAACAACAATTCTTATTTTCAGGTGATTATACACTAATGAAAACATACTGATGAATATTATATTCCATTTCTGCCAACAGATCCTCCTAAATTTTACACACCTTTAAGAGATCAATTAATCAACATGGAATTAATCGACAATCATCTTGATAAAAGATGAATTTGTTAATTGATCTGACTCATTTATCAAACAACCAAACTTGGAGTCTATAGCCACTGGAGCTTTGCCTTAAGCTTAGCATTGCTTTGAGCTAAAAGCTAATGCAATGACAATGCTGCAATGATTTGCATCATCGCTTCGTGTGGAGTTCAACATTGTTAAACTTTGATCGCCAAAGCTGCAGCGTCAACCAAAGGTGTGTGTGGGTGACCCATAAAATGGACTACAGACCATTAAACTGATTTCCTGTGCTGCACACATTGATGGTCACTCACTAAAGTCAGTAGGATTCGTTGTTTGGGAAGCATGAACATCTGGACCAACTTTTGTGACAATCCATCAAGTAGATGGATAAGTAGTTAAAATATTTCACAGGAGAAGTGATAAATCTGACCCACTGGTGGCTCTAAACAAACATTAGACCACAGTCATTAGGATTCATCCTGGGGATCATGAATGTCTGCACATAATTTTATGGAAATTCATCAGATATTTGTCAAAATGTTGAGTGTGGGACTGATCGACCGGCACCGACAAACATTTGTTGATTCTCTGATACTGATACTCTACACTGGTACTTTTTAACATTACTACTAATACTACTACAAAAATAATAAATGGATCAAACACTAATGAAAATCATAATGGCAACACTATATGTGTACATAACCAGATATGTTGCTGTGCAGTGGACTGTGGACCCTGAGTAACTAAAGTAAGTAGTTGTCCAGCTCTCCTTCCACCAGCCCTCCTGGCCTTGGTGTGTGCGTGTGTGACAAATCAATCTAAATCAATTGGGCTGTGTTTGTGTTTGTGATCATTGATGTTCTGATAAAGTGAGACCTTGATCCCTGTGAAAAAATAAAGCTCAGACCGTGCATGTGTTGACTGTATCGATCCTCGCAGCACACATATCAATTGACATTGATATTGTCTTTTTATATCATCTGCTGCAACAGCAAGCACTTTATGGTTCACAGTTTATTGTTTCCGACGTGTTAGCACCTAAATGAGCACACCATGGACTAATTTGTTTATTGATGATACGGCTGGAAAGCTAATTATGAAAAATGGCTTTGGTCAATAAAACATAAAACTTTATTACAGAATCAAATTGGACAGTGTGGCAGAGAGGAGAACTGCTCAGTGAAAATTTTAAAAGGTGGCAAAGACAGAGGAACTGCTGAACCTTAAGTCAAACAAACGCAAATTATCTTTGATTTCTTCCCCCTCCTGCACCATTCACCATTGTTCTTTTCTTGACGCACACATCCTGCTTTACTGTTGGACTTGAGAAACCTCTGCTTACTAATGAGAGACCCGGTAGGCCCTTCATTCATCTTAGTGGTGTGTTCGTGTGTGTACAGTCGTTACTCAGTCCCAGGGTAAATTATTAATGTCTGTTGTTCCAGTTGTTTTGGGTACTAGAGCAGTGGGCGAATCCCTGAAGAAATTATCCTGGTTTTCACCAAACAGGAGAGGGTAAATAAAGAGGGAAGAGAGACAAAGCAAATGCAGGAGAGCTGCCAAGAAAGTGCAGAGGAGCAGATAAGAGTGTACCTTGTGCCGTCTGGAAAAGAAATCCTCCGACATATATATTTATATATGTGTACGTGTCTACAGTTTGCTTTATAGAAAACAATTTCAGTATCTCTCTTTGTTTTTTTTTCCTGCTTTCCTTTCTTTTTTTATTTTCTAAGGAAGGTATATTTTTCCCCAAGACTGTCTTTTTCTTTCCTCGCCATCTCCTTTGTTGTTCTGAGTTGAAACTTTAGCTTGGTGCGAAACATATAGCACAGGCATAAACCTTCAGTGCGCGATGGAGCGGTGGAAGACAGAGTGATGACAGGGTGACGGTGGAGAGGGGGAGACAGGGAAGATTTTTTGAGGAGTCAGAGGAGAAAGAGAAGAAAATAAATCATAAAAGAGAGGCAGGGATTGGTGACTGGACTGAAAGGGAAGTGGTGCTGTGCGACACTATATGGATCTCTTTAATCTCTCCTCATTTCCACTTTCTCTCCCCTCTGCCTTTATCAGTATAATCACTATTATAAATATTATTTCTATATCATTTCTCTCCATTCAGTTAGAGCTGGGCAATGGGCATGAAATTAATATCACAATTTTAATACAAATATGTATATATGCAGCAGTCACTATGATTCATTGTGCTTATGGCTAAAGGCAGCTCTTTGTTCAATGTCCCTGTGTGTCTGTGTCATATATTGAATTATCTAACCTTTACTAATAAATTCATTCCCACTTGATCTCTAAATTCCATCTTCTTAACTATTTATTACCTTGTTTCAATAGGTGGTGTCCAAACCTCTCCCCTATAACCCATAACATTGACTTACTGAAATTAATCTCCCATAAGGCTTTAAAACATTACATGATGTAATTATATATAGTCTGTGGAGCATGTCCTATCATTTGACATAATAAGACATGAACTTGTGAAATGTTTAGAAAGCTGGGCTGTTTTGGGCTTATGAATGACTAATGTCTGACTGTTATATTGGTATATTGGCATTATGTGCATGTTCCCTTCGCCGACCTCCACTCATGGATGTAATTGGATTTGTGGAAGTGCCGATACACGTGCAGATCCAGACATATTGTACAGAGCAGGTGCACGTGTCAAATGTGCAGCACTGATGGCTTATAGGTGAAGAAAAACGAGTAGGAGTGTTATGTTATTACAGTACAACAGCTGAAGAAAAAAAAAACAGACTTTTCTACTGCACAACTCCTAAACAATATGGAGCCAGGACAGTGACTTTAAAATTTGGCATCCAAAGAAAAAATTGGCATTGAAAACAAAA